CAGGAGCAGTGCATAGAATAGGTTTCCATGGCCAAGCAGCTGTATCGTGACCATGCATCCCCAAGTGCAATGCAGTGGTGTAAAGAATGTCGCCACTTGACTCGACAAACAGTAGAGGAGCATTCCCTGGGGTGACAAATTATACATCTTCATCTGGAAATCTGATGGCCAAGTCTGGGTTTAGCAGCTGAAAGGAAAAAATTTTACTTGTCTGACTGTATTTTGTCAAGTGTAAATTTGGGGGATCCTCTGGTGGGTTTGTTTTCAGGTGCTAGGCTGAATCCTTTGTTCCAGTGAAATGAACTCTGAATGCCTCAGCATGACATTTTGGTTATTTTCATGCTCCCAACAATGCCTCACCCATGTCCATAAAGATAGGGAAGAGGTTTGGTTCGGATAGCTTGATTGGTCTGCGCAGGATACTGACCTCTAACATGATAGAACACTTTTAGTAGGGGAGAGTTTTGGCATCGGTGCTGCGATTCGATACGGGTCACGACATGCGATGTTGATATATCCCTATATATTGTGATATTTTACCCAGCTATCAAAATCAAATGATAAGATAGGAAAGCAAGTTCTGTATATGGATTTTTGAGTTATTTTGGTATCCATGTTGTTTGGGGTTTGGGTCCATGTCTTCCGCTGTGACGGGTGGCGGGGTAGGGGTAGCCCATTTTCCCTCATCGTTTCAGGTAGCCATGTTCTGTTTTTTGTTTTTGTTTTTTAAAATCAATACTAGGAAGTAAAAGATTGATATTATATGGGGCAGCCGAATAGCACGGTATATCGCCAAAAAATTATTCCTCACACCCCTAACCTTTAGTTTGTCATATTGAACGTGATGGATTAAGAATTGGATTTCACTGAATTTCATATAGGAGTCAAGGAAGGTGTGCAAATACTTTTGGTAATATAATGTATGTACATTAAGTAAAGGAGTAGACAATAATTTAGACATGTGGAAACAAAGAACCAGAACTCATAAATCCCCTTGTAGCCACAGGTCATGCATGAACCACACCAGTAAGGCTGAATGAAAACTATTTTGTTTGCTTAAAGCTGTTGATATAAACAATGTTTTTTATATATATCTATTTGAAAGTATTAAGAAAACCTTTATTCAGTATAAGCTGTATATCTTCCATAACTTCTTAAGGGAAGGCAGAAATTGTCTTTTAGGTGGTATCTTGTGTCCCTTACTGGTGGTGAAAGTCTAGTCTTAACCTTCAGCTTGCTGCTGGTTAAAAACAGTAAAGCTCTTGATCTGTCGATCTAATCCCTACTACCTCTTGACTCCTTCTGGCTGTGTCTTTATTTCTAAATCTAGCACTACCACACCCTTCACTAGAACTCTTATATAACGACCACGCCAAGCCAGCCACACTGCTACTGGTGCTGTCGTTTGTAACATCACTACCCCTTTGGTTGACAGAATACAATTGGTTGCCATTATTTTATTTATTTTTTCTGCCTGACGAGCATTGAAAACATTTCAAGCCAACCTTTGCGTCACAGGTTGGACTTTTATTTTCCCTCACATTCCTTGAGTTGTTTCGCAGATCCTCTGCAATTCAAATTTGTTCATCAAAGATCATATTCTTTGCATCAAACTAAACTTGAGCAAAAGAGGTACTACAGTTTTTACAACAGATATAACCTATTCTTATTTATCTTGTTAAATATTCACAGTTTTCTATAGTTTTTGTATTTTCTCAACCCCAGAACAAACCCTTTTTCTCTTTAGTTAACATTTACTGCGCAATGATCTTGTAATATTAATATATACCTTTAGGCCAGCGGTGGCAAGTGTTGATTATTAATGAAAGTAAATTCTGCTCATGCAGGTATTACTTCCTAAATCCCATGAAACTCATAGTAGTTTTTAATAAAGGTTGTTATAAAAACATATCTAAGGATGCTACCAAATTTTTCGCTTGTAGTTATATTAAATAATATTGAATTGGCGCAAAAAGCTTTGGAACAGCTTTACCCCCAAACCTGACTGAACATGTGTCACTGATAAAACTATTGTTGCACCGATTCCAGTATCGGACAGAGCCCCAATACTGCACTGAAATGGTGCTCAGTATCGGAGAGTTCTAGGGGTGTAAATCATACCCATCATGGCGATTCGATTCAGTATCGATTTCCTGACCCAACGATACGATTATTTTCGATACTCAAGAATACACCAC